AAATGGTGAAAAGTTACGACCACTCGGCCAACGAGGCATTTATTATTATTTATATAGATTTATTATTTAATATCATTCTCAGGTCGGAGACAGTCAGGTCGGCGCTGGACGTGATCTCGGTCTGCTGCGTGGCGCCCCGGGTCCAACTCTTGTTGACTGAGAAGATAGACATGAGAGACGCCGAGATGACCACTGGAGTCAACATAGTACTTGGTAAGTTTTATTATAGTTTTTATCGCCAATCCGCGTTGCAAGCGTGGTGATTAATGCTCATACTCGACTGCACGGTTGGTGCGGTGGCTGGGCAACCGGCTGCCGTGCTGCCGTTCGAGTCCCGCACGGAACAACACTTTGTGTGATCTACAAATTGTTGTTTCTGGTCTGGGTGTCATTGTGTATGTGAACTTGTATGTTTGTAAACGCATCCACGACACAGGAGAAAATTCTAATGTGGGGCAACGATAAAAAAAATACCTTCTCTGTGTGAGAAGAAGCCTTTGGTCAACAATGGGATAGTTGGGTAGTTTCCTGTGTCTAAAATAAATTATTTTGATTTTTCAGTCTAATTAAAAATGTTTAAACTGTCAAACACCAAGCGGTCACCGGGGACCGCAACCTATTGTTCTATAATTGTGTCTATAATGACGGTACTCGACGAGTTAAGTGTAGGAGAGCCATGCTTCGGCACGAAAGGGCCAGCTCGACCGGAGTGATACCACGGCCGAGCAGAAAACCGACGTGAAACAACGCTTGCGTTATGTTTCGTCGTGTGAGTGAGGTTACCAGAGGCCCAATTATCTTTTCCTTTATTTATTTATTTATTTATTCGAAGGAGTACGGCCACATCACAAACATATAACATTCAAAATACACAATAGTAACAAAATAAGGGTCTGATGCATGCGACAATAATGGCGTACATAGCATTGGCAGTTCATAGGCTTAACAGTGGCTTAAAAATAAAATACAATTTGAGAATTACGGAAAAGAAAATAACCACAATAGTCCACACCATACACACATTAAAATGAGAATTTAACAAGTTCAATTTTCTATATAATTATCATATGTCTGATTAAAACAAAACAAATTAACAACAAAAACAACAAAAAATAATTAGAATCTATGCCATATTAAGTCTAATAATACTAATTTAATACAAATATAATATAATAAAACGTCAAATCATCGTCAAGATTTCAACGAAATGTCAATTAAATTCCCTTCCCCAATCTCCCCATTTTTTGGGGATTAGGAGTTTAAGGATCGTTGGGGATTCAGGGATTAGGGAAACTGGTCATTGGGCTCCGGTAACCGTACTTTACACGACGAAACTCAACGCAAACTTTCACGTCGGTTTTCTGCTCGGCCGTAATATCACTTCGGTCGAGCCGGCCCATTCGTGCCGAAGCATGGCTCTCCCACATTTAGAATTCGAGCTTATATTCATAATTAATACTTATTAATATTATAAATGCTAGCGAGTGTCTATTTGTTTGTTCGTCGTTTACGGCAAAACGGAGCGACGAATTGACGTGATTATTTTAAGCAGAGATAGTTGAATGGTTGGATAGTGACATAGGCTTTTTGCCCCTCTCTAACGCCCAACCTCCCTAAAATAGGGTAGTTGCTAGGGTATGAATATTAAAAATCGAATTAGTCCGTCAATTAGATAATGAAAAAATATTAGACACGTATTTTTTTATTTTTTTCGTATAAAGTTGCAATACTTAGATAAAATGGCGATAAGTTTAGGAGTGGGAGGTCGTTACGTCACAGCGTGCTACAACATGTCACACGACATTTGAAATCAATATATCGTCGAAAGTATTTAATTTTGTGAGAATAGAAAAAATACGTGTCTAATGTATTAAAATAATCTACCAGATGGACATTAAAATAAAATGTTGGAAACTAACCTATTGGGGGTGGAAGTTTGCATGGAACATTCAGCAATTAACAACGTACATACGGCTACACATCGAGCTTTACATAACCAGTATAAACTGAACGTTAAATGTCCGGAAAGATGATGCGACGCGATACCAGGATAAACTGGTTTTGTATAGATTGATGTGTGGCTGTGTGTACAAAGCTAAGCTAAAAATTGATATACGACTAACAAAATGTTGGGGCATATTTTTTTACCCCCTTACAAAAGTGCCTGCGTAAAGCTAGTAAATATACAAGGTGTAGTTTTGAAACCGTGACATTTCTCGGGGGCATGTCACAGAAGTCATAAAGGTTCAATGTAAGTGAAAGTTTCGGGCCAATAGTTAAAAATACGACTATAATAAATCGTTTAAGTTCGACAGTTTTTCAGAATAAGCGACAGCAATGTTTCTTACTGGAGTTTTATGGAATTAGGAATAATATCAATTACGTGTTTGAGTTTATGTGTGTTTTTCGTGGGCGGCGGCGTATAGTTCGCATTCATGGATTTCCGTAATTTACAAAAAATTAAAAACATTTCTCTACAATATTTTTTATTGATTCGGACTAAGAATCGATAGCCGAGTTACCTACTAGAAAATGACGCGGCTTTAAAACAACACCTTGTATAATCTACGAGCGGGACAAGTCATACGATGATATTCCCCCCTTAAAATATGTATATAATTATAATTTTTATATAAGAATGTGATTCTGATTCTAACGCAGACGTTTTGGCAGGCGCGGCGGACGGCGAGATAGTTCCAGAGCCCGACGTACAGAAGGCAGCACTCAACGTACTCGTCAACTGCGTCTGCGCACCTGTCCATAGAGTGAGTACACTAAACTTAAAAAAATATGACCTGTAGTTTAGGTGTTATGAGGGAACAGATGAACGTACATACATACCGGTCAACATTATAACCCTCCTTTTGGTTTTTCCGCAATCGGGTAAAATTAGATAGTTTCCTAGGTCAAAAGTGAATTGAAGAAAGTAATAATTTGGCACGAATTAATACTTTCTTCGATACTTCTTCTTTTAAACAGTCAAACACCGCGAGGACACCGGTTACCGCAACCTATTGTTCTTTAATTGTGTCTATAATGGCTGTAATCAACGAGTTATGCTTAAGAAAAATTTTTTAAATAAAAAATATTAAAAAATGAGGGTAGTGTATCTACACCTCCCACTATGCAACCTGGCATCACCCTCACAATCTTTACCTGGGCTCATATTCAAACTATATTACAATTGTTATTTATTTATACTATGTTTTCAGGCGGGCACATCGACGACTAGGTTTTCAATAACCGGTTCTACTAAGAAGAAGACCGCACTCAAGTCGTACGAGGACCTCATACAGAAGGTCTGGGAGAGTGTGCGAACTAATAATGGAATTATGGTGAGTTGTCTCCACTTTCAGCAGACATTTTGAAAATCGTAGTTTAAAAAGTTCAGTTCAATGCTGCCGGGTCTTTGTCAAGTACCCAATAGGGTAGATACCTAATTTTTATTATAATGTCCGTCTGGTAGATCATTTTCAATCATTAGACACGTATTTTTTATTTTCTTACAGAAACGAATACTTTCGACGATATATTGATTTGAAATGTCGCGTGACGTCACTTCTATGTACATTTTATACTAAGACATGACGTTTTAGCCCCCACTCCTAAACTTTGATTCGTTTTATCTAAGTATAATTTTATTATACAACAAAATAAAAAATACGCGTCTAATATTTTTTCATTACCTAACTTACGGACTAATTACATTTTTAATTTTCATACCCTGTCACCATCCCAATTGTAAGTGAAAGGACCGTGTGGGACTTTGCCTAGTTATTTCACTTTTACTTAATTATATTCTGACAGTTTGAGCATTTGTGCGACCTACCCAAATGTTACTTTGGTTGGTATTGTTCGTCGGGTCATTCAGCAACATCTGAGTGCTAAGCACGAATGACTATCGCATTCGTAACGTAATAGTATCGTGCGCGTTCGGCGCTCTGATTGGCCGGCTCAAGTGAACCAACCAATCAGAACGCTCAACTCGCTCAATAGTATTACGAAACGAATGCGATAGTTATTCGTGCTTGGCACTCTGTTACTTGAGCTGATTCGAAACTGATACATGCGTGCTGCCATCAAAACAGGGCCTTTAGCCAAACGCCACTTTAGCGCTTGTCTACAGAGAGAGTAGAAATCAAAATGTATGGGGATGACACTGACCAGTGTCAAAATTTACGTCAGTTCCATAATAATTTGGTTTTCTATTCTACATGTAGACAAGCGTTAAATGGCATTTGGCTACAGCTGCAGGTCCGCTCAAACTATTGTGGATCTTTCCTCAAAGGACCACTACAGAATCAACTTGCACGGTTCTCGCAAATTATAGTTATAATCTGTCTGGACTTTAAAAGAGACAATGACCTCTGAGTTTTCTGTCTGAGTCATGTCCGAATACTGAAACGTTACTCAATTTTAAGTCGCGCTTAAGTATAGTTCTGTCTCTAGAAATTCTTAGTAAAATGACAGAGACAGCACGATATTTAAGCACGACTTAAAATTGAGTAACGTTTCAGTATTCCGGCATCAGTATGGAAATGCTCGTCTAGTAATTTAAAGATTGACGTGTAAAAGTATTACGTTGTAACCTATTTGCAGAAAAATAAATCATTTCGTTTTATATCTAGTAATCTTAATCTACATATATAAAAATAAACCCTTTTTTCCCTTGGTCACGCATGAATGGCTGGACCGATTTCACTAATTCTCTTTTCTGTTGTATTTGTTATTATTAGGAGAAGGTTCTTATGACAGAAAAAATCCTGAAAATCCTACGGGAACGGGAGAAAACGGGATTGCGCGTACGAAGTCGCGGGCAGAAGCTAGTTTATAATAAAAAAAGGCTCTTCCTAAAAGAAATCGATATAAAACTGTCAACCACCGCGAAGACACCAGTGTCCTCACACCTATTGTTCTTTAATTGTGTCTGTAATGACTAAACTATATTATATTGTTCCCTCAGGTCCTCCTCTCACTAATGATGGTGAAGTCCCCAATAACGGACGCGGACAGACTGCGCGGCCTGGCGTGTCGAGCCCTGGCCGGACTAGCGCGCTGCCCCACTGTCAGACAGATCATATCCAAACTGCCGCTCTTCACTACATCACAGATACAAGGTCTGTACTATAATAGGGTAGACGACTAATTTTTATTTTAATGTCCGTCTGGTAGATTATTTAAAAACATTAGACACGTATTTTTTATTTTCTTACGGAAACAAATAGTTTCGAAGATATATTGATTTGAAATGTCGCGTGACGTCACTTCTCAGTACATTTTATACTAAGAAATGACGTTTTAGCCCCCACTCCTAAACATTGATTCGTTTTATCTAAGTATTGTTTTATTATACGACAAAATAAAAAAATACGTGTCTAATGTTTTTTAATTACCCAACTTACGGACTAATTATATTTTTAATTTTCATACCCTGTCATCATCCCAATTATACTAGCGGACCCGACAGACGTTGTCCTGCATATCCACTTGAATGTATAAACAAAAATTCATTCAAATTAGTTCAGCTTTTTAGGATAAATAACCTAAACTCGACTGCAGCGCCATCTGCCGGGCTGATTTGTGAATCTAAACCATTCCCAGATCCTCTTGAACACACACAAATTTTTTATCAAAATCGGTCCAGTCGTTTGAGAGAAATTCAGTGACATAAACACTCACAGAAGAATTATATATATAAAGATAGTATGTATTATATATTACTGCACGGTTGGTGCGGTGGCTGGGCAACTGGATGCCGCATAACGTGTCGCAGGTTCGATTCCCGCACGGAGCAACTCTTTGCGTGATCCACAGATTGTTGTTCCGGATCTGGGTGTCATGTGTATGTGAACTTGTATGTTTGTAAACGCACCCACGACACAGGAGAAAATCATATAGAGAAGCAAAGTTATTAAAAAAAAATTACTTCCGTGAGACATACTAAATTAATTATTATGTTTCGGCTTACTCACGTAACTGTTTGACGAGGAACTGAACATCTGAAAATCAGCGTTGGGCATGTACGCTTAACTTAATGCTGAGATGGAGGCCCTTTTGGCAAGGGCACGCACCGTTAAATGTTATTTATTTATTTATTTATATCGTTTTTTATTAATTTTTAATTATTTTGTTAATATTGTATTGTCACTGTTTTGTTATACGTTGTCGTTTCTTTGTGTTTTTTTTTTCTATATCTGTATAAATAAGTTTATTTATTTGTTATTTTCTTTTTTAATTTTGTATTTTTTTTTTGTATCTGTGTGCGTGCCTACTGGCGAATAAATGATTTTTCTTTCTTTCTTTCTTTCGAACTGGATTAGTTTCGAGCCATGCTACAGGTTCATATTCATGAGCAGCATTCCGCGGCGACTGTCGCTGCTACTGGCTGGTCGAGTGTCCAGCGCCGCCTGCCGTGACCCCGCGCGGCGTCCTCTACCCGGTGTCGGCGGCGGCGCGCGACACTGCTGGCACGCTAGGCTCGCTCGCCAGCTGCGTGGGTGTTGGGTTCGAATCCCTTGTCAACGCAAGAACGGCTCTAACATGGCTCGAAACTAGTCATTATTATATATTCAGTATTACTGGGGTTTTTAATTTTTTTCAGTAGTAGAACAGGGTCTAAAATTGTGTGGTATACGGCAATAGGCTCACCCCCTATTACATGGGACTCATAAAATAAATAGTGAAAAGTGGGTGTTACATTGTACAGTGGCATAATGTGCACCTCTGCCTACCCCTTCGAGGATAAAAGGCGTGATGTTATGTTGTGGGTGAAGCCAGATGGTTAATGTGTCGCCCGAGTCGTTGTGGCTCATAAACTCAAAAAACTGCTGATCTCGACTGAGAAGAAAGCAACTAGCATCTATATAAACCCATTAAACTGTCAAATACCAAGCGGACACCGGTGACCGCAACCTATTGTTCTATAATTGTGTCTAGAGGTATAAAACCGGTACTCGACGAGTTAAGAGGGAAAAGAGAAATGGAGTTAGCATGTCACAGGATGTGCAACACTCCAAAGTCCCAATAGCACATTTCATCTGATTAAAGCCGAATCGGCTGATTAGAGATTAATAATAAAAAAAGAAAAAGTTATGGGTGTCACTTTGTACAGTGGTATTAAGTGCCGTAATGTGCACCTCTGCCTACCCTTTCGGTGATAAAAGGCAGGATGTTATGTTATGTTTTATTATTTCATCAGTAAGTGATAGATACTTAATTTTCATTATCATCATAAACAGCCTAGAAATCCCCACTGCTGAGCAAAGCTTCTTCTCACACGGAGAAGATTTAAGCATTAATCACCACGTTTGCCTCAGTCTAACTCGGAAAAACTCACATTGGTACTTGCCGTTGGTAGGTTTCCATGAGAAGCGAGCGGCTTTAACCTCTGGACCACTACGACATAATAAATTTTCTTATCCACATAACACATAACATCACGCCTTTTTATCCCCGAAGAGGTAGGCAGAGGTGCACATTGCGGTACTTAATGCCACTGTACAATGTAACACACACTTTTCACTATTTATGTTATGAGTTCCATGTAATAGGGGGTGAGCCTATTGCCATATACCGGGCACGATTCCAGACTCCTTGCTACTACTGATATTTTTTTTTTAAAACCCAGTAATATTTTACCCGACCCGGGAATCGAACCCGAGACCCCTTGCCCGACAGTCGCACTTGCGACCACTCTGCCAACGAGGCAGTCATTTTCATATCCCTATTACATTAATTGTTTTTATTAACACATTGTTAACATTTCAGTGTTAATGCGCGATCCGATATTACAAGAGAAGCGACAGGAACACGTGATGTTCCAGAAGTATGCACTCGAACTCCTCGAGCGCGTCTCTGGGAAGAGCAAGCATATGGGCGCCGAGTTCGAAACGTCACTAGCTAATATACATCGGGTATGTCTCCAACTTTATTTTAACCGACTTCTAAGAAAGGCGGTTTTTGAACCGACTTTAACAGGTTCACTGTCCAGGCTCCAGAGTGGGAATGGTCCATAAGTCCAGTTAGTTAGTTAGTAAAAGTTGGTATGTTTGTGGTTAATATATGTACCTACATAAGTGTTTTAAAATATACATGGCCTTTATTATCGTTTTCATATACACAGACTACATATGGTCGTGGACTCGTAGTACTTCCTGCGGCTGTAGCCAAATGCCATTTAGCGCTTGTCTACATGTAGAATAGAAAACCAAATTATATGGAACTAGGTTTTACCCGCGACTTCGCTCGCGTCACAAAAGGATGAAAAGTAGCCTATGTGACATATACCGATACACACAGCGCCATCTATACCAATACTTTTGTTTTCCCTCGGAAATATCAATTTATTCCGGGATAAAAAGTACTCTATTATTTAATCTGGATTTCTAACTTTACGTCTGCAAAAAATCAAAGCAATCGGTTTAGTAGTTACGGCGTGAAAGCGAAACAAACAAACTCACTTTCCAATTTTAATATTAGTAAGGAAGTAAGGATTGACGTAAGTTTTGACACTTGTCAGTGTCATCCCCGTACATTTTGATTACTACTCTCTCTGTAGACAAGCGCTAAAGTGGCATTTGGCTAAAGGCCCAGGACGGTAAAAATCACCTCGTGAGTCCACAGACCATATGACTATATGAGGCATGTGTACCGCCAAACAGACCACATACGGTCTGTGGACTTGTATGGAAGTTGCTCTACAGACCGTATGTGGTCTGTGGACGGTGATCCTGTTAAAAATGAAAAAAAAAAATTAAAATTTGGATATTAAAAAAAATATGTTTTGTCCGCTTATAATCTCGCGATTGGGTGAACCGATTTTGATGGGGTACCTGTTCAAAATCATCCCCTAAATTTGTTCATACGAAAGTAGCGTCTAAACATTGGAAATAAGGTCTATAATGTAGTTAGTGGACACTGGTCACCGGTGACCGCTTGGGTATATGGGTTAACCCTTCGGGGATGCGTGATGTTATGTTATCCTTACTAATATTATAAATCGGAAAGTGAGTTTGTTTGTTTGTTCTGCTTTCACGCCGTAACTACTAAATCGATTGCTTTGATTTTTTGCAGACGTAAAGTTAGAAGTCCAGATTAAATAATAGGGTACTTTTTATCCCGGAAAAAATTGATATTTCGGAGGGAAAACAAAAGTATTGGTATAGATGGCGCTGTGTATATTGGTATATGTCACATAGGCTACTTTTTATCTTTTTGTGACTAAAGCTAGTTGGAAATAAGGTCTATAATGTACTCAGTGGAGAGCAGTCACCGGTGACTGCTTGGGGGTATATGGGTTAAGAGAAGTGTTTGTTACTACAATTCACTCTTTGTGTGATCCACAAATTGTTGTTTCGAGTCGTGTTTGTGAAAAACAAAAGAAACACAATACTCATTCTTCGTGCAGTCGGGTACAATAAAAGACATTATCTTATACTATATTATCCACTCTGCTATATATACTGGTTTGCCTCGTTGGCCGAATGGTCGCATGTGCAAGTGCCGGGTAAGGTGTCTCGGTATCGATTAAAGTACTACTGGTTTTTTTTAATTCTCACTAGTAGCACGGAGTATGGAATTGTGCCCGGTATATGGCAATAGACTCACTCTCTATTACATGGGACTCATAACATAATTAGTGAAAAGTGGGTGTTACATTGTACTGGCAATAAATGCCGTAATGTGCACCTCTACCTACACCTTCGGGGTATGCGTGATGTTATGTTATGTGTTTAATTGGGCCTTCGGTAACCTCAATCACACGACGAAACACAACGCAAGCGTTGTTTCACGTCGGTTTTCTGCTCGGCCGTGGTATCACTCCGGTCGAGCCGGCCCAGTCGTGACGAAGCATGGCTCTCGCACCGCTCTTATCCACAATTATCTCACGATTGGCTCAACAGATTTTGATCCGGTTTTAACAGAAATATTTTTCTTTTCTGTTCGCAGGCGAACGTAGTAGCTCAGACGCGTATAAATTACAACGAGCGCCAGTTACTACAACTAGTGGCGGCTCACTTAGCGGAGCGCGGTCTGTCGGCCAGCGCGGCCACTCTACAGAGGGAGGCGAGGCTGCCCCCGCCCTCCGGCGCCGCCGCCCCCCGTCTACACGCCGTCTACTCCTACTAGGGTGAGTAATACAAAAACGGCTTTTGTTCATAGAATAGTAAATTGGTATCAAAATATCTTTTTAGAATACTTATCTGTTTCTATGTCCGGGCTACACTCATAAAGTACTGCATGGATTTACTTCAAATTCTGCATGAATATTATTAATAGTTCGGGTCAATATAGTTACAGGCTATATATTATCATCACGTTAGTTGACATCACACGGTTGACGTGGTGGTTGGGCGACGTGTCGCGGGTTCGATTCCCGCACGGAACAATTCTTTGTGTGATCCACAGATTGTTGTCGCACCCACGACACAGGAAGTGGGGCTACGTTTTTTTTTAATTATCACCTATGGGTAGCTGTGAAATTTTACCCAAAATCACTATTTGACGTTGACGAAGTCGTGAGTGTTGCCAGTTATAAAATAAACTATTGTAATCTTAACAAAATCGTAATGGTTTTTCGTCAACTGCGATTAATAAAATTGATGAATATCCTGCCTCGTTCGCCGAGTGGTCGCAAGTGCGACTGCCGGGCAAGGGGTCTCGGGTTCGATTCCCGGGTCGGGCAAAGTATTACTGGGTTTTTTAAATATTCTCAGTAATAGCACGGAGTCTGGAATTGTGCCCGGTATATGGCAATAGGCTCACCGCCTATTACATGGGACTCATAACATAAATAGTGAAAAGTGGGTGTTACATTGTACAGTGGTATAATGTGCACCTCTGCCTACCCCTTCGGGGGATAGAAGGCGTGATGTTATGTTGTTGTTGAAAATCCGCCTCCCGCTTGAACGTCGCGGGTCACGTGCGTCTCGCGCATGCGTGTTGATTTTTTTCTAGAAGATTCGAAAATGGAAATCGCGTTGGTCGTGCGGAGGTGCGGCGAGCGCGCATGCGCGAGCGAAGCCTAGCTCGGCTATGTTCGGACGGCCGTGCTCGTTATACGATTTATTTAAACGACTTTTTCTCGGAAATTTGAACAAAAGAATTCTGCTTAAAGTGGCAGATACCCGAATATTGGTTGGCTACTCAATTTTAAATTGTACTTCAATATAGTGCCATCTCTGTCATTTTACTATGAATAGGGTAGTTTCCTAAATTTTATTTCAATGTTCGTCTGGTACATTAATTTTAAACTTTAGACACGTATTTTTTCTTTTCTCACAAAATTAAATACTTTCGACGATATATTAATTTGAAATATCGTGTGACGTCACAGCTTGCCACATTTTGTAGCACGTTATGACGTAACGACCTCCCACTCCTAAACTTAGCGCCATTTTATCTTAGTATAGCAACTTAATATGAGAAAATAAGGCGCATAAGCGAACCCCTCTGTGGTTCGAAACTAGTAGAGCTTTTCTCAGTATATTCACGTGAGTAACTCACGATTTTCAGTTAACCTATTGAATCATTCCGTGTCTCGTGCAGCCTCGACTGTCCGTGTCCCGCGCCAGCAGCAGTGGCTCCCTGCACCGCGACAGCCTGGACCTCAACTCCTCGCACGCCATGCACGTGGACGACGCCAGTCCACTGCCGCCCGTCATCAAACTGAGGTAACTACTATACATACACACATGGACTGCTTCGTTGGCCGAGTGGTCGCAAGTGCGACTGCCGGGCAAGGGGTCTTGGGTTCGATTCCCGGGTCGGGCAAAGTATTACTCGGATTTTTTTTTCAAACAATCTCAGTAGTAACACGGAGCCTGCAGTTGTGACTGGTATATGGCAATAGACTCACCCCCTATTACATAAATAGTTAAAAGTAGATGTTGCATTATATACAGGGGCATTATGTGCCGTGTACACTTCTGCCTACCCCTTCGGGAATAAGGCGTGGTGTTATATATATATACATACATACATACATACATACATAAGCTCACACCTGTCTCCCTTAGGGATTAGGGGGTAGGCAAGACTATTGAACGCCAATTACGGGATCGGACAACTTTTCAAAAACTATTTGAAAATATTCTTTATGATTATTTATACCCATAAAAAAATAGTTTTTTTCGTTACTGCTTTATTATTAAAACAAAACGTGTTTAATAATACGTATTGATTGAAATTTGAAATGCCGCGAAAACATCGCAAAACACGGTGTGTGTTTACTACGAAATGTGTTTCACTTGTTTCAGTCTATATCAGCTTGTTTGGTGAAATAAAACTTTGTAATACGTCTTTACTCAATGGATATTTATTGAACACGCTTTCTTACTAATTTTCTAAATGAGTGGACTGTATGAACGTATTTTTGAATGTGTGTGAAGTATATGCGTGAAATGTTGCCAACCATAAAAAAAAACTTAATCTATTTAGACAGTGTGTTAGTTTGACAGTTGGTGGACTGTCAAACTAGAATGCGTGACGTCATGCGTGGGTAAATAAACAGTGCAAATCCAGTAAGACGCCTGTAATCTGTGCCTTTATCCAAACGCCACTTTAGCGCTTGTCTACAGAGAGATAAGATAACTAAATGTATGGGGATGACACTGACGAGTGTCAAAATTGATGTCAATTCCATATAATTTGGTTTTCTATTCTACATGTTGGCCGACTGGTCGCAAGTGCGACTGCCGGGCAAGGGGTCTCGGGTTTGATTCCCGGGTCGGGCGATGTATTACTGGGTTTTTAAAAAAAAATCTCAGTAGTAGCACGGAGTCTGGAAATGTGCCCGGTATAATGCAATAGGCTCACCCCCTATTACATGGGACTTATAACATAAATAGTGATAAGTGGGTGTTATATTGTACAGTGGCATAATGTGCACCTCTGCTTACCCCTTCGGGGATAAAAGGCGTGATGTTATGTTATGTTTTATTCTACATGTAGACAAGCGCTAAATGGCATTTGGCTACTGCAGCTGCTGTATCGCTGTTTACGTTCGTTACCCATGTATGACGTCACGCGACGTGATTGATGTCTCGTTACAGGTGTAGAACAGATTAAACTGTCAAACACCAAGCGGTCACCGGTGACCGCAACCTATTGTTCTATAATTGTGTCTACAAAACCGGTACTCGACGAGTTAATAATGTTGTAATTATCGTATTTTGATTTTTTTATTTAAAAATATAATACTTTAAAAATAAAAAATATAAAAACAAATTTTCAGAATTAACAAAAATTCTCAAAAAGAGCTTATTGAAAATTCGTTAAATATTATGCAGATTTTATTTATGTACACTTTATGTTTGTGGGAGAGCCATGCTTCGGCATGACTAGGCCGGCTCAATCAGAGTGATACCACGGCCGAGCAGAAAACCGACGTGAAGCAACGGTTGCGTTGTGTTTCGTCGTGTGAGTGAGGTTACCGGAGGCCCAATTACCCTCCCCTACCCAATCTCCCCAATTCCTGAATCCCCAACCATCCTCAAACTCCTAATCCCCAAAAGGCCGGTAACGCACTTGCAACGCCTCTGGTGTTCCAGGTGTACATGGGCGACGCCGATTGCTTACCATTAGGTGATCCGTCTGCTCGTTTACCGGCTTATGCCGTAAAAAAAAAATCTTTATTGTTGTCCGATTCCCTGTTGCCACGATTCCTACATACACCACTTTCGCTTCATCAACAGTCATCAGTCTTCATGCAAGCTCGTCGGTTGAGCACATTTTTACCATGATAGATCAACATCATAATACCGAGCTATAATACACTAGACGACGAATGTCCTGAGACACGTGTCGTCAGCGACGTCGGGTGGAGTAGCGTCACGTTGCCCGACTTTGGTCGACATATCAGTATCAATGTCGCTGCGGACACAAGGCCCGCGTTGTCGCCTTGTAAAATGTCGGGCGAAATCGGCCGGTTTCGGTTGACTTGTCGTCGATACATGTCGTACGACATTTGTCCCTTATGTATCCTTGTTCATATCAATGGATTATCTAGGAGACAATTATGTACACAGGTTACATTGATTGATCACCGCTTCTCTTCACGTGGGTGTGATATACCCATAGACAATAGACGTAGGTCCATAGCCAAATGCCACTAAGCGCTTGTCTACTTGTAGAGTAAAGAACTAAATTATATGGGATTCACGTAAATTTTTGACATGTCATCCCCATACATTTAGTTTTCTACTCTCTCGGTAGACAAGCGCTAAAGTGGTGCTAAATTCTAGGAGAATGACGATTCGATTTCAATATATAAAGCTAGATCTAAAACACACTTACACATTTGTATCATAAAAATTCCGATGATTATGAGCCCTTTCCCGGCTTGAAACTAATCGAGTACACACAGTATATTTCATTTTGCATGATACTATGTTTATATTAAAATCGTGTATTTAGATTAAGTTAAAACAATTATATGTTTTTGTTTTTCTATACAAGCGATCCTCCCTGGCTTCGTACGGATGTCAATTTAGTTGTCAAAAGGTATTTTTAAATATAATAGTAATAATATTAGAGAAACTGTTTGTCTGTCCTAGCGAATTGACTGCTGAGCAATGTGTAGCTAGTTCCGATTCTCGCACGGAACAATTCTCTTGTGACCCTTAAATATTTTTCTAGTCTGGGTGTCTTAAAAAATAAACATAACATCACGGCTTTTATCCCCGAAGGGGTAGGCAGAGGTGCACAATGCACATTATGCCACTGTACAATGTAACAACCACTTTTCACTATTTATGTTATGAGTCCGATGTAATAGGGGGTGAGCCTATTGCCGTATACCGGGCACATTTCCAAACTCCGTGCTACTACTGAGATTTTTAAAAATCCAGTAATACTTTGCCCGACCCGGGAAGCGAACCCGAAACCTCTTGTCCAGCAGTCGCACTGTCTTGTGTACTTGAAATTGTATGTTCCTAAACGCATCCACGACACAGGAGATAATCCTAGTGTGGGGCAACGTTTTTTTTAAAGAAAAAAAAAAATATCGTGTGACGTCACGATTTACTACATTTTGTAGGGTAGCGTGACGTAACGACCTCCCCCTCCTAAACTTGTCGCGGAGAACCTAACGGGTTACCGGGGCTCCGGCTCGACGTGCAGGAGAAGGAACGGGGTGGTTTTTACTCAGTAAGAGTCTGACACTCCCTCCCGCCTCACCCAGGCGGGAGCAGTCATTCGATGATTTTCCCTCCTTAAAAAAAAAACTCCTAAACTTAACTCCGTTTTATCTAAGTATTGTTTTCTTCTAATAAAAAATAGTACGTGTCGAATATTTTTCCATTATCTAACTGACGGACTGATTATATTTTTAATTTTCATACACTGTCTACTATCCTATTATTTTTGTTGCAGGAAAGTACAAAATCCGCCTTTGAACACAGTTTCGACGCCAACTTCGGAGCACAAGAGGTCCCTGCAGAAGCAGCTGAGCGTGGCGCCCGGGGAGCCGGCCCCCAGCCAACATCGCGTCACTCTACACACAATTATCACGGAATACCTTTATAATCAACATTCGCTTTGCAAGAACCCAGTCGCTACTTGTCCACAATTCAATTTGTTTGAGTAAGTATTTAATACCAACGAATAGTTATTATGAACTAGCTACTTCGTAGTTTTCACCCGCTCTGCTTGGCTCCTGTTGACCGTAGCGTGATGTTATATAGCCTATAGCCTTCCTCGATAAATTGACTATACAATACAAAAAGGATTTTTCAAATTGGACCAGTAGTTCCGGAGATTAGCGCGTTCAAACAAACAAACTGTACAACTTTATACAATAGGGTAGACGACTAATTTTTATTTTAATGTCCGTCTGGTAGATTATTTAAAAACATTAGACACGTATTTTTTATTTTCTTACGGAAACGAATAGTTTCGAAGATATATTGATTTGAAATGTCGCGTGACGTCACTTCTCAGTGCATTTTTTACTAAGAAATGACGTTTTAGCCCCCACTCCTAAACATTGATTAGTTTTATCTAAGTATTGTTTTATTATACAACAAAATAAAAAAATACGTGTCTAATATTTTTTTATTACCTAAGTTACGGACTAATTATATTTTTAATTTTCATACCCTGTCATCATCCCCATTAAGTATAAGATTATATAATAGTATAAGATTGTCGTGTTGGCCCGAAGGTTTAAGAAGCCCGCTTCTCATGCATGACACGGCGCGTTTGAAACCTACCAACAGCAAGAACCAATGTGACTTTTTCCAAGTCATATCGAGGGGTAACGGGCTATTTGGTTTAAGCGACATTTTGGGCGATATTGAGTTATTATATATATTCGACGGAGAAAAATTCGCTGATTCCGAATATATATATAACTCAATATCGCCCAAAATGTCGCTTAAACCAAATAGTCCGTTACCCCTCGATATATACTTTCTAATATTATTTAGACACCACTGACAAACGACGAAGGAAAACATCGTGAGGAAACCTGGGCTTATAATTTCTAATTACAAGTTTAATATTGTATTGAGCAAGCGTGGTGAATAATGCTAAAACCTTATCCGTGTGAGAAGAGGCCTATGGTTAGCTATGGCTATTTATAGGCTGCTAGTCAAAGTCAAAATCATTTATTTCAATTTGATCAAAAAGGCACTTTTGAACGTCAAAACAAAATATTTAAATATTAAAGAAAAAGCTCGTTCCAAAGTGTAGTTTAACTAAAAATCGCGGGTTACTCACGTGAATATACTGAGAAAAGCTCTACTAGTTTCGAACGCACGCTGCTAATGAGGAAGAACCCCTCTGTGGCTCGAAACTAGTAGAACTTTTCTCAGTATAGTCACGTGAGTAAGTCGCGACTTTTAGTTCATTTAGTATGTCTCATGATAGTTATTATAAAAACAAAGTGTACATTCCTATGGAGAAGAACGAGCAAGAAACTCCACAGGTTACTCATTTTCAATCAGGTTCACAATACAATGTGTATAACATGGTACTCTTTGTGCCACAGGCCGCACAAATGTCCGGAGCCCCGCGGCGGCGGCGGGCTGCTGGGCGGTGGTGCCGAGCACTCGCTACTAGCTCGCGTGGCTCGCCGCGAGCTCGGGCTGGGCGGGGCTCGCCGCGCGCACGCTCGCCTCGTACACGCGCACTTCGCTCCTGTGCGTACGTTACGCCTTCAAGATGACGACGCGTACTTTACGCATACGCTATTCCATGTATGTATCTGTACCTTCATTTATTAACAAGATAATTACGGTTCTCGTACTGAATACCAAGTATGGGAATTGGGTACTTTCCTTAATCAAACATAAATTATTTCGACTGTTCAATACAATAAAATATTAAAAAATAATCACACTTTCATTAATTGATTTTATGACCAACTTAATTTTAATATTTATTCAGCAAATTCTTAGTAAATAAGTACTATGCTGTTTGACGCTAAAAAACGTGACGTCACAATACACAATCTCGTACAAAATTCATAGAAAACTGTCGTTTTTGACAGTTCGAAAAAAGTATTGAATTTGACTAGTTGGCAAGTACCCAATTATAGCACTGTCTCGTTTGGACGAGGAGTCGCAAGTGCGACTGCCAGGCAAGGGGTCTCGGGTTCGACGAAACAATTACTGGGGTATCTTTTTAAATCACAGTAGTAGCACGGAGTCTGGAATTGTGTCCGGTATATGGCAATAGGCTCACCCTCTGTTACATGAAACTCATAACATAAATATTTAAACTGTCAAACACCAAGCGGTCACCGGTGACCGCAACCTATTGTTTTATAATTGTGTCTATGATGACGGTACTCGACGAGTTAAAATGATATCCAAATCTGTCTCGGTAATACAATAGTTTTACAAAGAAATAAAATGTTTAGAACAAAAACTAACTGGTGAACCATTGCAAAAAGCAAACTTCGGAAGCGCATACGAACTCATAGTACATTATTAGAACATCACGCGTTTAATACTCGAAGAGGTATTTCTCGTCTAGTGCGTAATTCCACGAAAAAATTTTTTAAAGAAAAAAAAAATACATTTTTTTTTATTATACATGTAAAATACTCCTTATGGCAAGTAATTTATTATATATTAAACTGTCAAACACCAAGCGGTCACCGGTGTCTACAAAACCGGTACTCGACGAGTTAATCGAAATCGATTTCATTATGTATTTATTATGTTTGTCTTGCAGCCGACGCAACAACAGTTGTTGGCGGCGACGTCGTCAGGCGACATCCGAGTGTTCAACCTCTTCACCGGCATCGAGGAGAACTCATACCAAGTTCACGAGTCTTACATATACCATATGCAGGTAGGACATGCATAAATACATAATATATTTACACTTTTTTTTTTAAGGGGGGAAAATCATCGAATGACTGCTCCCGCCTGGGTGAGGCGGAAGGGAGTGTCAGACTCTTACTGACTAAAAACCACCCCGTTCCTTCTCCTGCACGTCGAGCCGGAGCCCCGGTTACCCGTTAGGTTCTCCGCGACAATATATTTACACTAGCTACTTCCGCGTGTTACGCATCGGTGTCATAAGCGGAATTCAATAGAATATCGGTGTGATAGATGGACCGTTGACACCATTTTTGTGCATAGCGACCAAGAACCGCGACACGAGGCGCCGACCGACGCTGCAATTTGTATGCAGAAGCAATTTAAGAACTATCTCGGCACTTTTGATTTCGCAATAATTTCTAATTCTGTACAATTTCAAAACCGAAGATCATTCTTAGTACAAGCATCGACCAATTATCACCTAATTAGATTTTAATACTATTATAATTAATTTTCTTCAATAAATTGTATTAAGTAAATTGGTATTTTGTATCCTCCGGCTCCAGATCTCTTAATTCGCGCGGTTTCACACGCTCTGCTCAGCTCCTATTGGTCGTAGCGTGATGTTTTATAGCCTATAGCCATCCTCGATAAATGCGCTATCCAACACAAAAAGAATTATTCAAATCAGACTTGTAGTTATGGAGATTAGCGCGTTCAAATAAATAAACAATAGATAAGATAAGAAGAGAGTTTAAGATAAGATATAAGATTATCGCTTACCACTAGGTGAGATGGTGGCCAAACGTTGACCTATCACTACATAATATAAAACAAAGTCGCTATCCGCCGTCTGTCTGTCCCTATGTATGCTTAGATCTTTAAAACTACGCAACGGATTTTGATGCGGTTTTTTTTAATAGATAGACTGATTCTTAAGGAAGGTTTATATGTATAATAAATGTATAATGCACCCGTGATAAATTGCTGGTCAAGCAAGTATACAACCCGAGCGTACGGCGCGTCGCGGTCCGCGCGCGCCTCAAACAGCCATCAGACCACCTCGGATAGGGCCCAATAGGGCTGATGCCGATACGGAGTCGCGGAGAACCTAACGGGTTGCCGTGGCTCCGGCTCGACGTGCAGGAGAAGGAACGGGGTGGTTTTTAGTCAGTAAGAGTCTGACACTCCCTCCCGCCTCACCCAGGCGAGAAAAGTCATTCGATGATTTTCCCCCCTTAAAAAAAAGTCAAGTATACAAAAAAATACTAGCTTTTATAATAACTATCGTGAGACATACTAAATTAACTAAAAATCGCGGGTTACTTACGAGAATATACTGAAAAAAGCTCTATTAGTGTCGGCGGTAACGGCGATGAGCAGGCTGCGCGACAGCGCCGCGACCGCGCACGCTGTTAATGAGGAAGAACCCCTCTGTGGTTCGAAACTAGTAGAGCTTATTTCTCGGTATATTCACGTGAGTAACCTGCGAATTTTAGTTAATTTTTGGACATTGTCGTTGTAAACTGTCAAACACCAAGCGGTCACCGGTGACCGCAACCTATTGTTCTATAATTGTGTCTATAATGACGGTACTCGACGAGTTAATAATTTAAATGTGTTCCAGGCGAGCAGAGACGGACTATTACTATTGAATTCAGCAACAACACCGTGGCGACCTCTGTCCGCATTATGGAATATGAAAGAATTCGAGTTATTGTAAGTATAATCTTCTGCCCGCACCTTCGCCCGCATTGCCGTTGAATAAAACGTAACCTATATCTGTTGTTACAGACCATTATCTATATCTGTTACAAAATTCACACCGATCCCTTCAGCCTTTTTGATGTGAATGTAATTTTAAGTGTGTGATGTGATTTTAAGTGTGGGAGAGCCATGCTTCGGCACGAATGGGCCGGCTCGACCGGAGTATTACCACGGCCGAGCAGAAAACCGACGTGAAGCAACGCTTGCGTTGTGTATCGTCGTGTGACTGAGGTTACCGGAGGCCCAATTACCCTCCCCTTCCCCAATCCCTGAATCCCCAACGATCCTCAAACTCCTAATCCCCAAAAAGCCGGTTAACGCACTTGTAACGCCTCTGGTGTTCCAGGTGTCCATGGGCGACGCCGATTGCTTACCATCAGGTGATCCGTCTGCTCGTTTACCGGCTTATGCCATAAAAAAAAGAAGAAACAAACAGAAACTTTCGCATTTATAATTTTTATTTTATTTTATTTATTTATTTATTTAATGCTAACAACTACCATTACAAACTAATCCAATACGATAGTGTGGCCATCAGTCTTACAAATACTTCTAATATATATCAGTATTTACTTATAATAAACTTACTTATACTTATGTAAATCTACCCTCGAAAGGGTAGGCAGAGGTGCACATTACGACACTTAATACCACTGTACAATGTAACACACACTCTTCATTATTTATGTTATGAGTCCCATGTAACAGGGGGTGAGCCTATTGCCATATACCCGGCTTAATTCCAGACTACGTGCTACTACTGAGATTTTTTTTAAAAACTCAGCAATACTTTGAGACCTTTCGCCCGGCAGTCGCACTTGCAACCACTCGGCCAACGAGGCAGCAAAAGGACCAATTTTATCTAAATACCTACAGAAATAATCATAGAGGTACAACCTGATTGTTGTTCAATTATTTACCTTACACAAGGAATCGTTAAAGTCCATATCACTAAATCA